TTGATTTATCTGTTTAGTGCGGTATCACCATTCCATTATCATTGTTATTACCTATTCCTTTACAGCAATCTTTTCTGCAAATTTCCTAGAGGAACTTGGAACCGATGATCTTCCCCGCGACGATGATGATCGCGGGCTTGTGATCGACACTCAGGTTTGCCCTGTCTGATAGTGGGATGTGATCATCCGGAGAACAAGAACAACAAAATCTTTAATCAATTAATCAATTACCTCAGTAGTCAATGCTGTTCATGTGCGTTCTTCCAGCATGACCCAACTTTCCCATTTTCTACAAATCTAAAACGAAGCGCATGATCCATTTGGTTAGAGCTGAAGCAACGCCCAACTAGTATAGTGTAGATACGGAGGAGGAGCACAGCTGATGACGATCGGCCAGGCGCCAAGGGGGCCCTGGAAGCCGCTTATCCGTGAGCTGGATTGTCAGGCAGGTTGCCTCACGATTCTGCCTCGTTATCCCACGCTGAGACAATGGGGCCGCTGGCCCTTTTTCATTTCCACGATGCCGACGCCTTGGGTAACTAGGTAGACGATCCTTATTGGGGGCTATAGGTCCTTATGTAGGCTAATTCAGAGTATGCTGGGGCCACGAGTCAGATTAACCCTAGGTGGATCAATAGGTGTAAGGAGGGTTATTGCTGTGGCCACAATCTTTATCCTCGTACCCGGATAAGTGTGGAAGATAAGGCTGTGCTGAGCCAGCCAGTCACTAAAGCTCGCCATATTGTGGGGGATATATTCTATGCGGGATATGTCATAACCACACCTCTTCAAACATAAACAACGCCGTGGTCAGCTGATCACTCAATCAATCGAACTAATTACCATATCCTATACCAACCCCTCTATGGTGATCTCAACCGTAACAAGAATAACCAATACACCAGGTTTGAGACCCCTACCCTGCCCCGGCCGGGCGTAACGGAGAAAGGGGGCGAGTACAACCGGTACCTGCGTGCTAACTTACTCCGCCTGGTGTTCCCCATGTATCCCGCACTTTTCCCCCGTAATATGTATCATAGATAACAAGGTACACGTTTCAAGTTTCAACTTTTCCGGGGCACAGCTGAATTAATTGAACTATAGTATTCCGGACCGGCGGTTGAACAAGGAAAGCGACTAACAACCCCACCTTTGATGGAACGGGGGGATGTTATCATCCAGATGATAAGCGCATGTGGTAAACCAGTTTTCTGCGGTCCGGTCCCGGTGAGCGAGATGGACCGCTCGTTGGTAACATGCTGAAGGTGGTGTGTGTGTGTGTGTGTGTGTGTGTGACATGTGTGCTGCGTCTGTATCTGTATGCCTGCCAATGTTATGTAGAGGTTCTCTGCACCCTGCTGCGTGGTACTTTTTTGTTTACCCTTATCTAGACGATCTTATTAGCTGGTGAGCCCCCCTCTTTGCACACCGGGGTTTTCACATCATGGCCATTATCATGATCTTATACGGCTGTATATCAAGCTTACCGCCGGCTAATGTAGGGCGCGAACGATCCAACCTACAATAACTAAGTCACAATGCAATGTCTGCTGATCGCACGGCCCGACTTTATCCTATCAAGATGAATAGAACATCACGATGTATCGCTTGGTCTGAGGCGGGTGGAGACCGCTTTCTCTTCCACTGCACTTTCTCCTCTTCCTTTAATCTATATTTTTCTTCCTTCCGGTTTGGTGATGCTCTTCTTTTGGATAATCCAGATAGCCTTTAAGAAGGTTCCAACTAAGAGGCTTGCCTCGTTCTCTTGTTGAATATTTCAGGGCAGTACGTAATCGTGGAAAAGGGCGGAGTAGATTACGCAACATGTAAGTATAATTATGTACATCGATTGTAAAACACTTTCATCCCGCCTCTATCCTCAACCCAGTAATTGACAAGATGTACAGCAGAGTACACCATGTTAGGGTCATTTGAAGATAATGCCACCAGGGAACACTTGCAATCATTACCTCAGTGGTCTCAAAATAGAGCAATAGTGTTTGATAAATGAATATGTCACCAGGACATCATCACCCCGGTCGCGGACCCTCCATGTTGTTCGTGATCTCCCACTAAACAACTTACTGAGACGGCTTCGTGCATCTTGTCCAGTTTCTTGGATTTTTATTCTCCTCTTTTTTTTTCTAGTTTTATTTATTATTTTGATTTTATTATTAAGATTTTCAGATCCCACCAACCTCATAATATCCCAACTCGTGATATTCCCAACCCCCACGGTCCAGGAAATTGTTGTATCAATGTAGAAGAAATCCAGTGCAACCCTTGCTTGTCTATCAGCGCTAATCCTTTTCATTAAAAGTAAAATTTAAACAAAATAGATCTATATTACCCAGTGTGACTAAAAGAACGATTGTAGAAGGCCCTACAAATATAAATAGAAAGCAAATACAAGGACCTCACAATTATGTGGCGTATCTTTCCCTCCTGCAGTTTGGCTGGGGAACCCTCCCCGATGTCCCGCGTTAGTACCACCCCGGGTAATCATTAGAGGAGATCGTCCATGACTGTAGCGGTGAAACAAGAACAAGGCTGGCTGTGTCCATAGCGAAGCACGGAGAAGGTCGAAGAAGATTTCAGCCGGATTAGTTGGATCGTTGAACGGATGGCTGAAGGAGATAAGGAATTTCCTCCGGGAGAATCTCCGCTGTGGACTACGATGAACCTTATCAGATATTCTAGACTCTCATTATAATATCATATTATCTTAATCTTTATGTTTAAATGTGTAGGATCTCGGGCGTGCTCCGCATGCCCTACTAACAACCTCTTTCATTCCTTCTTTGACCTATGTAGTTGGTAGGAAGAAGCAGAGACAATAACTGTAGAAGGCTGACATTGCCCCGGAGTACTCCGTAGACGAAATGTGGATCTGGGGATTTGCGGAGTTCCAAATCCTTCAGCTTCAGGTTGGTCCGTTTGTCTGCCTTATCTGGTGGGATTCGGATTATTGGATGTTTTCCAAACGGCATCACAGTAACTAGTCTAGACTCAGGCGCGAGGATACCAATGACATCCAATATCCACTTAAATGCGATGGTGGCGGCTATTTACCAGACACAAATTCTCGAGTGACTTCTTATCTCCTACCATGATTTACCCACATCTCCAACTACATAGTCCGATAGTACAGGTAAAGGTGATTATGTCATTTTGTACGCCGATATTACACCGTTGGGAAAATAACCAAGTGATGAACTGACTTGTCCACGTCTTGGCGCCAAAAGATCCAGAGCATCGCCTTCCCCAGGCAAAATGCCCCATATTACCTGATTGGAAAGTCTGGCCTCAAGAAGATTCCCTCTTGGCCTCATTTTTGGACTGTTGACAGGTGGCTGTGACCATGACTCATCCATGGGAACCCTCAGTTGGGCATCTTTCCGGGTTATTTTCGTCAACCTTCCAGCTCAGCCCAGTGGTTACCGCCAAAACGCACATGCAGTTCTCGACCGATGATGATGAAAGATTGAAGTATTGGATCTTTGCTCATCGTATGACTGTCCCTCCTTCTTTTTTCCACCTCCCCCCCAACCACGCCAACGCTACCCTATGATCTACAAGATCCGTCACCCCGGGGAATTTGGGACGTTCATTCGACACACGGCGCTTGGTTATCGACCTTTTGCACTGTCCAACCACCGTTGGGGAGGTTGGTCGATCAGCTGGTCTGGACTGATGTCGAACGAAGCCCATACCCTTTCTCACTGTCTGTCACAGAATTTTGGAGAAGGGACTGGTATTGAGGTGCCGACATCATCATCCCGGATGGTATCATCATTGTGTGGCCAGCTGGGTTTGTGTTCTTACCCCCCCATAATTCAGCTGTCGTCATCCCTTCTTCTTCCCCGCCTCTCCGCCTCGTAGTTCCATGTCATGCTGGCATCAAGAACCAGGAATCAATTCATATGATAATCATAAACATAATAACAATACTAATCAATAAATAGTCCCCATCACATGAGGCCCGGGACGAGTAGCCTCGTCTCTTTGAGCCACCCGCCCAGGGAATCGCGTAATCAAGTCGACCCCATACTATGTTGGCATTAGGTAGTAATATCGACTGCGTTTCCCTGCCAAGGGTGGATAATAATCTCCAGATCATCCGCGATAGCCGGTTATGTGGTCATTACACAGTTTTCTTCATTTTTTATTATTATTTTTTTCCCTAACCTCTTGGCAAGTTGTACGGGACACGCACTTTCTCCAAACCACCATAGCCACTTCTGCAGTTCCAGTTTCTACTCCGTAATCCCTATCAACTCTAGCGTGCCCCACACTTTTTCTTATTTTTACACCTTTTTTTTTTTTTCTGTTTCTTTTTTTTACAACTCGGGTCTGTCCCTTTCCCGGTAGATGGAGGCATTATATTATTCATTTTTAATGAATTTTTTTTTTTTTCTTTTTTTTTTTAATACACCGTGGCCGGAGAGCCACCCGGAAGACGCCCCGAAATTGCCAACAGTCACAGCGGTCACGTCTACCCCGTACTGCTGATATTGGGTTTCGACTCCATACTCCTTGGGCTGGTTTAGGATTCCACCTGTGGAAGGGAGAATAGGAAATAACCAAGGGGTTCACTCTTTGATTCTGTATTTTGAAAAACAACATAAAACACAAGCAGATCATTTTACCACATAGAATCCAAAGAGAAGAAAAAAGAAAAAAGAGAGAAAAAAAATCCCCACTTAGAAACCGACCGGGGGAATCTCCAAGTTGAGCAGCCGATCTAGTCTGAGCACGTTCTTTTTTACTTTTTTTTTTTCTCCCTCTCTTAGTATTGTTACGATTATTTAATACTATTTAATGCTTCATTTTGGCTGTGTTTTTTTGGTTTTTTTTTTTTATTTTTCAATCCCAAATTTCAAATTTCATAACTTATTTTATTTTATTTTATTTTTTTTGCCCCCCCGAGATTCCTCCCCACACAAAGTACCTGGTTTTTTTTCTTTTTCTTTTTCTTTTTTTTTTTTTCTTCTTTTTTTTGCCTTTGATTCCGATAACACCCCCCTCTGTGACTCTGCTCAGTCTTGCACGCGCGCTCTTCTCTCTCTCTCTCTTTTCCTCCCCTCCCCCGAGCTCCATTTCTTCCCTCCTTCCCCCCCTCCTCCATTCTTTTTCTCCTTCATATATATTCCTCTCCCCAGATCGTCTTCTCCAGACTTTTCCTCTTTCCCTTCTCCCCCTTTTACTTCGTGCCTCTTTTGCTCGACTCCGTCTATCTCGACTCGCTATAGCTACCTGACTGGGTTCGTTTTCCGATTCCGGGTTCCCATCGCTACCACACCATCTGCCACATTCCATATCCCTTAAGGATTCTTTCTTAAAATCACTTGCTGCAACCCTTCCTCCAACCGGTAGAATCTATCTCGTCTATACTACTCCTCCACTGGACGATTTCAGAGCTTGCCTGTGATACCCTCGCGATACCTCGACCGCCAAGGCTATCTCCTTCTGGGGTGATATCGGGTGTCGATCACATATCCGATTTAGCTCATCCCCCCCTGCTGTTGCGACAGATCTGCTTTCGCCTCGGTTCTATTTTGCCGAGCGTGTTTCTGCTTAAAAGGCCCGCCCTGTCTCACAGCTCTCTTTTCCTCCGCAATCTTGACTAGGAAGAGCTTCACATGCCGCCACCGCCCTCTCCAGTGGATTTTTCTAATCTACTGAACCCTCAGAATACCATCGCCCACTCCAACCCTACCACCCCTGTGGCTAGCCCCAAAGGCCCTTCCACTCCCTCCAGTGCCCAGTCTAACGCATCAATGGCTTCGTCTGTCGGCCTTCTACCTCCCCTTATGAAGGGTGCTCGTCCGGCCACCGAGGAGGTCCGCCAGGATCTGCCTCGCCCTTACAAGTGCCCCCTCTGTGACCGTGCTTTCCACCGTCTGGAGCATCAGACCAGACACATCCGCACGCATACGGGGGAAAAGCCGCACGCGTGCCAGTTCCCCGGTTGCACGAAGCGCTTCAGTCGCTCCGACGAACTGACCCGCCACTCGAGGATTCACAACAACCCCAACTCGCGGAGGAGTAACAAGGCTCAGCATCTGGCGGCGGCGGCGGCAGCGGCGGCGGCGGGTCAGGACACTGCGATGGCTAATGCAGGCTCGATGATGCCGCCTCCGACCAAGCCCATCACCCGATCCGCCCCCGTGTCGCAGGTCGGCTCGCCGGATGTCTCCCCGCCTCATTCGTACTCCAACTTTGCAGGCCACATGCGGTCGAACCTGGGCCCGTACCCTCGCAGTAACGACCGGGCTTCGTCGGGCATGGATATCAACCTCCTGGCTACTGCTGCGTCTCAGGTCGAGCGTGACGAGCACTTCGGGTTCCAGGCCGGGCCCCGCGGCCCCCCGCTGTTCGGCTCTCGCCACCAGAGCAACGGCCGTCTGCCGTCGCTGTCCGCCTATGCTATCTCGCACAGCATGAGCCGCTCGCACTCGCATGAGGACGAGGACCCGTACGCGTCGCACCGCATCAAACGCTCGAGGCCCAACTCTCCCAACTCGACCGCTCCCTCCTCCCCCACCTTCTCCCACGACTCCCTCTCGCCGACTCCGGACCACACTCCGTTGGCCACTCCGGCTCACTCGCCACGGTTAAGGCCGCAAGGGGCCACCGACCTGCACCTGCCGTCGATCCGTCACCTGTCGCTGCACCATACTCCTGCTCTGGCTCCGATGGAACCTCAGCCGGAGGGTCCCAACTACTACAGCCCGAATCAAGGCCACGTTGGTCCCACGATCAGCGACATCATGTCTCGGTCCGACGGCACGCAACGCAAGCTGCCGGTGCCTCAGGTTCCCAAAGTGGCCGTTCAGGACATGCTGAACCCGGTCAATGGTTTTACGACGGTCTCTTCGTCGACCAACAACTCGGTTGCGGGTGGTGATCTGGCGGAGCGGTTCTGATCAGCCCGCGTCTCCGTACCCATCTAAGATCAACTTCGATTTCACGCGCGCCACGAAACGAATAGACCATGTGCATTTACAGTGTTGTTTTTTTTTTTATTCTCTTCGCTTCTTCCCCCCTTTTCTTTACTTCTGTGGGCATCCTTGGTGTCAGGATTTGATTCGATTTATTTTTTAACTTCATGTTTGATTGCTGGAATACATTTTGCGAGGCGTCTCCGAATATAGACGGATGGACTTTTTTCCTTTTCTCTTTGGCTACACTCTCCCTTCTTCCACTTTTCCTCCACTTTTCCCCTCTGTGACCAGTTCAGCTCTTCAGCCCCTTCGATATGTTTACCAAAAAGCACTGGCTACGGCCATTAATTTCATATCCCCCCCATTTGTCACCTACTATTTTCTTTGGCCTGAATTATTATTATACAAATAGACCCTCTAGCAGGATACGGATACGGATACGGATAACGGAATACAAGAAAAGTTGATTATCATTAAACCAGTTCTACATGAATAGAGTAGTAGTATTTGATGATGGAATCACAATCTTCACAATCACATGTGAAACCAGGCACCTAGTCCCTGAATCCTTCGATAGATAATCATAATCCAGCACGGAGTAGTTAGCTAACTATGGGGTAAGCCCTTCACATGCCGCCGATCTCCCCCCCTCTCTTCCCGGGGAATCAACCATGAAAAAAACAGGGAGCTTGCGAGCTGTACTAGAGCAGTTAACTCGGCCCAGATCCGAGGAAGGGGGGAAAACTTGAAAGGGGGATGGATTGACAAGTCGGGGTACGCCGATACCAATTTTCCAATTGGGTTTTGTAGCGCTATCTATAGTGCCGTATCTACTCCCTACCTAGGTACTTAGTCTACCCTGGGATATTCGAATGATGGGCCGATCCCGTCTAGCCGGCTGATTGTTCTGCCCTGTCTGGGATTTTATCTCCGGTCCTACGTACGTGCTGGAGTGAGTTATCTAACCGAGGTAAAAAATTTTCAGATAATGAAAAGTACGTGCATCGCATGATGTTCATTGTCAGTGTCATATATTATATCATGATATGATATAATCTGATATAATATAATATAATACATATTATACCGGGGAAATACAGGGGAGCTTGCACTGGGTTGTCTCTACTCAGGTAAAGTAGGTAGTACCTAGCTACTACTTGGTTAAGCTATGTTATGCGGTTCGGAAGATCTCGATGTGATTTGATTATGCACGGATTGCATGATCGTCTTGGTTGATATCATTAGTACCACCTTGGGTAGGTGTGATGGTATGATTCTCAACCTCTAACAGGGAGGTAGATAGATAGATTGATAGATAGGTGGTTGTGTATTTGAAACATGCATGATTGACTCTTGATTTTCTTCTCCTTTCTTTCTCGCTTTGCATGTGTGTTTTGCTCGTGCTTGTGTGTAGTGAGGTTTTTAGGGCATGTGGATTGTACTTTTGTTGGTATACTGTATAGACTGGATCGGAGTTGTTCATTGACGAAGAGGTAGGATACCTAGGTAGGAGAATAGGCCGATCGGCAGTTGTCACTGGGATAAATAATCACTATTTTGGTGTTGGAATTGATTTTCTTTAGCAGTGATTAGTAGACAGATGAGGTTATATTCTGGTGTGGCTTATAGACTTGATATAGGTTTGCTTGCTTGCTTCATGATCAACCCTTGTAACCGTTCTATCACACTGATAGAGTCTACTGTCATGACATTAACATCAATCTAGTCAGTCCCTGGTAAACAGCCCTATTGGACTACATGAGCAGCTAAATCAGCAGCCAGAGCTAGGTACATTCACGATGTCCCTCATTCCTCCTGTCCTGCATCGACTGATATCCACAGCCCAATCAAGTTGGATTGTCCATACACTGCCGCGATATGCCTGTCAGCGTGCTATTTCTGTATCGATCTTACATACCACACTACTTTTTTGTTTATTGTCCCAAGTAGACAAAGTAGATGAAAAATGCACCGCGTGGAGTGAAATATTGACATGAAATAGAATAGAGTAGGTAGAATAGTTAGAGAAGAAGAACACGTCTCGCTGAACGTGGCACCAGTCGCTTTGTTGGAAGAAGCAAATACTAAAGTACCTTTGAAATACTAAGGAATAAAAATAAGTAGAGCCGCAGTCGGGAATAAGACGAAGAGTCACACACAGCCTTTTCCTCTTGGTTGTCTTGGTCTTGAACCAATCTGATTGAATTATGGCTGATGAATTTGTTTCTCTTCACTGTCTTCACCATCTTAGACGATTGTCGCATAATCGGATTCCTCAAGTCAAAGGAAAGGTAATGATAGATAATGATCGATTGCCCCGCGCCGATCGCCCTAACCCCATCGCTTACCCCATGTTTGAAGATTCGATTCGATGATGCGGTCGCACGGTGTCTAGACATTTCCCATCCTTCAGACCCGGCTTCATCGACTAAATCTGTTGTTTCAGCAGTATCGCTTGACATAAACCTCCATCGCATCGGTCACTGATTCGGGCTGTGGGTTAGGGGGTAGATATCGACAACGCTCGCACGTCGTTGACATCGCCCCTGTCTCTCTCTCTCTCTCCCTCTCTCCCCGCCATGCCGCCTCTAACGGCCGTTCCATCGCTAGCAAGCGATAACACCACTTCGGCATCGTCATCCTCCTCATCCCGCCTATCCCTAGACACAGGATGGGCATCAGGACTCGTCCACCACTCCATCCTCGAAGACGACGGAACAGGCGCGCTCATAGTCCCCCCTCCCACCCGCCCTATCCAAGCCCCCCCTCACGATCACAACCACCACCATGCCCCCAATCAACATACATACATCTGCCTCTTCCACATCCTCAACTGCCACCAAACCTTCACCGAACCCGACCACTGGCGAACCCACGTGCAAAGCCACTTCCGCACGCACGAGCCTCCCAGCACAGCGCGCTGTCCCCTCTGTCCCCGCGAGCGCTTCGTCGACTCCCCCGACCGCAAAGCGTGGGACGCCATGCTGGACCATGTGGATACCGTGCACTACCAGGCCGGTCAGACGCTCGCGGGCAGTCGGCCGGATTTCGAGCTGATGCAGTACCTTTATGGGTTAAGGATTATCAGCGTTGATCAGTTTAAGGTTATGCAGCTGCCGCCGCCGCCGGAGAGTCCGGCTTATCATCGCTCGTTGGAGACTGTGAGGGCGAGTATTGGGTCGGCGAATGAGCCGTTCTGTGCGCCTTATAGTCGACGACGGGAGCGGAGGATGAGGGGGCAGAGGCGGGGGGTGGGGGTTGCTTGATTTTTTGTGTCTTGGTGGTTTGAGGGGTTTGAGGCGAGTGGTGATGACTGTTGTGGATTTGCTGTAAAGCGTGGCATGTTCAATTATTTGTTTCATTGTGACTGCTACCATGACTGTCATTTCGGGTTTTGTTTTTTGTTGTAAAGTACTTCTCAAGCGCTGTCACATCTTGTTGATGTTTTGCTTGTTCATGTTTTGATAACACAGAACAAGCCAAAGAACAGGCTTCTTTGTACCAGCCATGCGTGACGTTGAAATCATTGTTTGATAGTTGCTCTGTAGCAAAGGAATTAATCCTTGAATATCGAGAGATGATGATGATCCAGGGACAAGGGAAGAAGGCAGACTGGCGCTTCACAGCGAAGACTTTTCTTACCCAGCAAGGAGCGAACCGCCGTAGACTGTTTGACCTATAGCATCAATCCCCGGTACCAGGGAGAGCATGCATGACAGAGACCGGTGAGGACCTGTTTGGATACATCTCATCTCATCTCTGACTCCCTCGTATCCAACTGCCTTGCACAGTGTTAAATGTTCTTCTGGCAATTGGATGACGCCGATGTCAGACAAGCAACTTTCGCAGCCTTGCATGGCGTAATGGTGGTGTCAGTAGACTTGTTCGTTCTGTCTAATGGACATTTTATTCAATTTGTGTACCAGAGATTGGTCATTGTGCAAATCAATATGTGGTGCTGATATATATATGTGGGTGGTAGCCAATCTCGTCAGAATATCCGAGATGTCCTTTGCTGCCATTTGGCCATTTTTGGCAAGACTGACGCAAGTGAAGTAAGCAATAGTTCGTGGAAAAACCAAGTAATGGGCTGTTCATTACATTTTATCTTGGAGTTGATCTTGATATTCAATCTTGATTCAGTTGTATACTCCGAACCTTTAGTCCACCATCATCCCTTCGGGACAGGGCGACAAACAGGACAAACACCGTCCTCCCACCACACCTGGTCGCAGCTCAAGTTCGCTCGAGTGATATCAGCTGCCTTCCTTTCCTCCGCACAACAAGTCTCTCATTGCAGACCCTCCCTCGCAGAATGACAGTGGCTATACCACTTGAATTACACAAATAATCGATCCGAAGATAATCACCCGAACCGACGCCGCAAACTCGTCGCACGACATTAGAATAATCGTCGATTTCCCCGACCTCTCCAACCCACCCTCGACCTCAATCCAACAATGGAGCGCCTCTCAATTAACGACCCCCCATCCGGTGGCCAGCAAGGAATCCCCCCGCCGGGATTATCGCAGCAGCAGCAGCAGCAGCAGCAGAACCAATCCCTCGGCCCCATGACGCAAACGCAGGGTCCCCCGCAGTTACCACCGCAGATGTTCACGACCGCTGCCCAGCTACTCGATTTGACAGACAGTATGTTGCCATGTCTTGCCTTGCCATTGTCTCTTTGACGCCTTCGCTTTCTTTTTGTAGAGGATCTTGGCTGATAATATTGACTAGAGAAACTCGTCCTTGTTCTCCGCGATGGGAGGAAACTGATCGGCGTGTTGCGGAGTTGGGATCAATTCGGTAGGAGACTGCCACACACCCACGCGCATTTGAATTGAAAAAGGAATGTGAATAATGGTCGGGTTTCTAACGCGAGTCTCTCTGCCCCGCACAGCCAACCTTGTTCTTCAAGATACCGTTGAGCGATTGTACGCTGGGAATCTCTACGCTGATATCCCGAGGGGGATTTTCCTTGTGAGAGGGGAGAATGTGTTGTTACTTGGTGAAATTGTAAGGGATTCTTTTCTTCTTCCGATGATATTCCCGTCGCATTCTCTTGGTTTTGTCGCGTTTTAGAACTACCTCTTGGCTTGTGTGTGCTGACTCCTCCAGGATCTCGACAGGGAAGATGAACTCCCCACTACCGTCCAACGGGCTTCCTTCCAGGAAGTGTTTGAGCTTAAGCAAAAGGAAGAAGAACGCCGCAAAGGCAACGACAAGAAACGACACGGCAAACTTCGGGGCCTCGGTTTCGAGGCCGAGCATAGCGGGGAGATTTTGTTCTAGATGGAACATTCAGAATCCCCTTTCTTTAGCCCCCATCGTGTTTGGGGGGCATCATAAGCAGCGGGGCAACATCTACTCGTGACCCAGAATTCTATACGTCTCGACAGATTCAACGCTCTGGGCGTGCCCCCTCGACGGTCGCCAGCTCGTTCTGGCTCTCCTTCATGCGATAAGTTGCCAAGGAGAAATACTCAATAGATCTAGGGGGAGAAGGTGAGGTACCAAGGCAGCGCGCCTAGAGTGTGATGGGTTTGGCCATCGAACCGGGCAGTACGAAAATCCGATCAAGGAGTAAGGAGGATGAGTGATGTTCACGAGTCACGGAGGTAATGAGGGTGAATCTGTTGGAGTATAAGAAAGATCAATCATGCTTGACGATGTTTATGCCTCGATATCGAGTTCTTCTTTATTCTTATTTTTCTTTTATTCGGGCATATCCCACCTAGCTTGGTTAGTCGGGGCATACCCAAGGTGGGAGGAGATAGCGCGTGTGTGGTAGAATATACTACACAACAGACTATAACCACACTCTTAAAACAAAAGCACATATTCATACGACCGCAAACAATCGAATATCCTTGACAGAAGGAGTATACTGAAGTCGAATGGTAGTTACTCCGTAGTAAATGGTTATCGCTATCGATAGGCGCGCCAAGACCGCCCGCCGTACCTTTTCCGTTTTTTTTTTTCTTCAACCACTAAAAAATTCCTCCGCATCCAAACCACCGCTTGACTTCCTTCTCCTTCAACTACTTTCCTCTTCTCTCCCAATCCTCGTCGATTGTTCTCCTAGGCCTGTCGGTCGATCTGTTTCATCATGTCGACGCTGGCGGAGAAGCTTGAGAAGATCAAGTCCCCCAAACTGCAGAATCAGCACCATGTAAGTTCACATCAACCCAACATCAAATCGTCTGGCGTCAGTGGGGAGCCCGTGGTTAACAGCGCTTTTTCGATGGTAAAGACGGCGGTGGTGCTCTCTGCAGTGGAGGACACGCTTCGCGATCAAAAAGCCGATTTTTCTGCGACCGCATACTTCGCAGCCTTACTCGCCCTGCTCTCCCAGTCGCTTTCCGCTGAGCAGGGCATCGTCAGCAAGGACCTGGCCACCTCCGTGGTCTACCTGCTCGACATCGTCACCGCTTATGTCCCCGCTCCCATCCTCCGCTCCAAATTCTCGCAGATCCTCACCAGTCTCGCGCCCGCGCTTTCCCTGCCCGAGGTTGACGCTCCGCTCCTGCGACCTTCCATCGGCTGTCTCGAATCGCTGCTCATCGCCCAAGATGCCGCTGCGTGGAATCTGCCGCACACCCAGATCGGTCCCCGGCGGGCCATCGCGGGCCTGCTCAGTTTGGCCGTCGACCACCGGCCCAAGGTGCGCAAGAGGGCGCAGGATTCCCTGATCGCGGTGCTCCGGGCCCCGCCCCCGAGCCCGTCGCTCGATCACCCCGCTGCCGATATGTGCGCAGAGACCGGCCTGCGCACGCTGGGCGATAGCATCGCTGCGGCGGCGAAGCAAAAGCGAGGTCGCCACGACCAGCAAGGCCGAGAGAATCACGATCCTCTGGTCATCCACTCTCTGCAGCTAGTGAAGACGGTCGCGACCGCATCGGGAGGCTGGCCCAGCAAGAAGATCGAGCCCTTGTGCGAGCTACTGATGAACGCTTCCCGGTCCACCAACGAGTATATCACGATGGGTGCCTTTGAGGTCTTCGAGGTGATCTTTTCCAGCATGGCCAACGAGTTCTCCTCGTCGAAACTCCCCCGTCTGTTGGACGCGATCTCGGAATTGAAGCCCGCGCAGAACGATTCGCAGCTCTTGCCGCCGTGGATTGCTGTCTTGTCCCGCGGATACGATGTCTCCGCTCAGGTTGCCCCCGAGGATACTTTCGAGAAGCTCCCGGCTCTGTTCGACCTGATTTCGGGTTATCTGACTTCGCCGTCGAGCAACATCCGCGTGTCGGCGTCGGAATGCCTGGTCTCGTTCCTGGCCAACTGCATCCCGAACAGCGTGATCATCGAGCCGTCGATCTACGACGAGAAGACCCTGGAGAAGCTGGCCAAGGCCGCGACGGGTCTCCTGTCGGTGAAGTACCAGACCGCATGGATGGAAGTGTTCAATGTCTGCTCGGCCGCGTTCGACTGCTTCAAGTGGCGGGCGAGCCCCTTCCTGGAGGACATTGTCCGGATTGTGGGAGAACTCCGCACTAACGAGTCGTTCCACGGGAAGAAGGAGGCCGACCAGGTTCTCGGCAGTGCGGTTGAGGCTATGGGTCCGGCGGCGGTTCTGGAAATCCTGCCTCTGAACATCATCGATCAGAAGGCCGGCCAGCCTGGCCGCGTGTGGTTCCTCCCCATTCTTCGGGACCATGTCACCAACACGAACTTGGGCCATTTCCGCTCTGAGCTTGTTCCTCTGAGTGAATCTTTGTACCAGAAGAGGACGGACTACGCCTCTGCGGAGAAGACGGTCGAGGCGAAGATCTTCGAGACCCTCGTCCAGCAGACGTGGTCCATTCTTCCGGGGTACTGCGAGCTGCCCTTGGATCTGGTGGAGAGCTTTGACCAGTCCTTTGCTGAGCTCCTCTCCAACGTTCTCTATAAACAGACGGATCTCCGTGTGGAGATCTGCAAGGCCCTGCAGAACTTGGTGGATTCGAACCAGGCCATCTTGTCGGTGGAGTCAGAAGGTGACGACCTGATCCTTCAGCGGAGAATCACCAAGAAGGCGGCCAAGAAGAACCTCGCCCACCTTTCCTCGTTCGCGAGTAACTTGCTTGCGGTGTTGTTCAACGTATACAGCCAGACGTTGCCCCACTACCGAGGCTACATCCTCCAGTGTATCAACTCTTACCTGAGCATCACCCCGGAGAAGGTTAGTAGATTCGAGTTGCTCTCGCTATGACGTGTCTTTTTAACCATGTGTCTAGGAACTGAACGAAACATTCACCCGCGTTACTTCTATGCTCGAGTCGTCCGTGGCCTCCGAGCAGGAGACCGCAAGCAAGCAAGGTGGCCACCAGCAGGGTGGATCCGGCAACAAGATGCCGCCGACTTCTCACACTCTCATTGACTTGGTTATTGCCATGTCGATCTACCTCCCTCGGACGAGCTTTGCGAGCCTCTTCGCTATGGCCGCGAACATCCTGAACGGCATCACCGGCGACCAGCAGCTGATCAAGAAGGCCTACAAGCTAATCCCCCGCCTGGCTTCGACAGAAACCGGGGCCGAGGCCCTGGTGGAACGGAGCTCGGAGCTCCAGACTCTTATCCTGTCGACTGCAGACAAGACCCCGGCATCTGCGCGCCGAGACCGCATGCTCGCCATCGACGAACTGGTCACATACCTTCCCACCTCTGACTTGCATTTCATTCCCTCCATCCTCTCCGAGGTGGTCCTCGGATGCAAGGAGAGTAACGAGAAGGCCCGGACCGCCTCTTTCGACCTTCTCGTCCACCTCGCGAAGAGGACGGCCGATGAGGAGCGCAACCCCGCCGGCACCAAGATCCGCAACTCGCTGGTGCCCCATATGCCCGATGACGCCCCGGATGCCCCGGCCACCATCGACGAGTTCTTCACCATGGTCTCGGCCGGTCTGGCGGGTAGCTCACCCCACATGGTCGCCGCGTCGGTGACGGCGCTGTCGCGACTGTTCTTCGACTTCCACAAGCAGCTCCAACCCAATGTGCAATCCGACCTTGTGCAGACCGTAGAGTTGTTCCTCACTAGCAACAACCGCGAAATCGTCCGCTCTGTCCTCGGCTTCGCCAAGGTGGCCGTCGTCGTCCTGCCGGACGATCTTCTCCGCCCCCGCCTGGCCACTATGGTTCCCAACCTCATGGTCTGGAGCAAGGAGCACAAGGGCCGCCTGCGCAGCAAGGTCAAGGGTATCCTGGACCGACTGATGCGTCGCTTCGGCGCCGCCGCCATCGAAGAGGTCGTCGGCGACGAGGACCGCAAACTGGTCACCAACATCCGCAAGCTGCGCGAACGCCGCAAGAAGAAGAAGGCCGGCGAGAACGACGAAGACGAGGACGAAGACAACGCCAAGAACAAGACTGCCGCCGCCCCCAGCGACGGCAAGGCCTTCTCCAACGCCTTCGACAAAGCCGTCTACGACGACTCCGACCTCTCGGGCTCCGACCTGGGCTCCGACGACGACGCCAGCGAGATCGAGATCGACGCAGAGGGCACCATGCGCGCCAACAAAGGCGCCAACGCCGCAGGCCGCGGCAAGCCCGGCAAGAAGCCCAGACAGCAGAGCGGAAACGAGCAGTACATCCGCGAGATGTCGCCCGAGGACAACCCGCTCGATCTGCTGGCCCCCGACGCCCTGGCGCACATCTCCACGACGAAGCCCAGCGTGCGCTTCCTCAACACGGGCCCCGGCTCGCGCCGCAAGCACGCCGCCAAGTACGGCCCCGACGGCCGTCTTCTCCTGGGCGACGACGACGCAGACGCAGGCGCAGCCGGCCTGGACGGCGAGGCTGGCGCCGGCGAAAGCGGCATCAATGCCTACGTCGCGGCTGTTAGCGGCCCCGACGCCGTGCGCCGCGGCCAGCGTGGAAAGTACAAGATGGGCCAGTCCCAGCAGAAGAGGAACGCCGGCGGTGACGACATGGACATTGACGATGGCGGCAACGACGCCGATGCCAGGAAGAGGCCCTCCGATGGTGGCCGCCGCGGACTGGGTGCGCCTAAGGTCCACGGAGCGAGCAGTAGCAACAGCCGGATCCAGAAGCGACGGAATCCCAGAGGTCGCGGTGGGGGTTTCCGTGGACAGAGGGGGAGAAGGTAAACTTGATGACCGAAAAACGGGTTTCTTCTGTGTTCGAATCCATATTTCCATATGATTGTCAGATCAGACGGATCAAATCGCCATCAGAGTCTACTGGAAGAGTGGAAGGTACCGTACGGACGGTATTGTATTGAATGGAATGGAATGAAATGAAATGATCAATACTGGTGGGGGATTTACCCTAGCACATATTTTCATGATTTATGGGGTGAAGTTCTTTCTTTTTTTTTCTTCATTGAGTTGTGAAGAGTGACTTCTAAATATCTATGAGAGCGACCATATGCACAAACAAACACGACCATGTCCTCCACGGCAAGCAAAGGAAGGATGTTCCAATTCTATGTTCTCTGGTAGTAGATGTCAACTACGAAGTACGATATCTATCTAGATCTCTATCCATTTTATGTCTTTTTATAATTTGCTTCGACTATCTGTTTTCTCTTCTTTTCCTGGTTTGATTTGGTATCATATACCCTCTTTTTTCTTTTTTCTATCATCAAAACATGTATATCTTTTTTTTTGTTTTTGCTTGTGATTTTTTTTCTAATAGACCTGTCAATCAATTCCACTTTCTCGTGTGGTTCAATTCAGTTTGTGTTTGTACGATGAGATCTTGCTCCTTTCCTATAGTGTATGCATATGCACACAAACATTAGCCCCACACCTACCTACCTACCTTTCTACCGAGTAAAAAATCTGCAGCCATGTTGACGAGAACCGTTTGCTTCTGGCTCACTGCGGTAAAGAGTAATCAGCGAGGGATTTTCTGGGATAGACATCTTGGACTATTTAACGCACACCACGAATACTCCAGATACATTCACTGCATTAAGCGATATACGGATCTGGGTGATAATTTCTGCAACGCAAAGCTAACATGCAACAGCCCTATGCCAATGACAATGATCCCCTAGCTGGTCACCGTATGTCTGAATGATCCATAGTTGGTTATCGTATGTCTGGCCATTGAGCCAGACTGTCGATTCCCCAGATCCAAGCCTGTTCTTGCCCAAAGCCAGTGCCCAGACTGACTAGATCAGGGAAAAGAGGCTCGAGAGGGCCATCCGCATTGTCGCCGGAGAGCACTACACGTGGAACATTAGATAAGGTACTGATAGCTAAGCATAAATGAGAAACACCTGCCTTGGTCAAAGTCATAGAGGGCCTGGGACATGGCCGGATCTTCTATATAGTCAACCGTTGGGTCTGCGCCCATGCTCCCTTCGAGATGAGTCGTATGGTAATCAGGCATGTTCTCGGTCACTTGTTGTCGATCCACATTACTGTCCATGTCGGCACCTTGGCTTGGCAGTGGTGCTGCTTCGGCTTCCGAGAATGTGATGTCTTTGTATTCTTTTTCCAGGACCAACTTGGTCAAGCGCTTGAGGATGTCCAAGCCCTGGGCAGCAAGAGCCGATCGTGACCCTGACCTGAGACGCGCCTGAATGCTCATCAGTTGGCGCAGACCGATTTTGGATAGGTAGGACTGCGGGGAAAGAGGCTCGATGCTGCTCAAGATACAGAGCGTCAGGCCAGCTGTGAAGGTATGGATGCCGAGAAATGACGCTGCATAGGTGTCGGCGGCGAGAGAAAAGATGTGAGTCGTTCCAAGCTCGGAAGTCTTCAGGGCCGCGTCTCGACAAGCCCGCATGGACAGCTGGAGAGGGTCTTGAGTCGGATTATTCGTCGTGCGGTCGATCTCGTTGTCTGCTCGACGGACCATTTTGTACGCGATCAGCGGGCGGTGGACTAAGATCCGAGCGTTCTCGTAGGCGAGCTTGAGAGAAAGCGCCTGGAGCTGGTAGATGTGATTCTCAAAGTTGGGGCCAGAAGCGCCAATGTCCCGGTCCATCTCTTCGACAGAGCCATACGATGAAGTAGAAGAGGCGGTAGGCGTGTCGAGGCGCAACAGATCAGGTATCTCTGCATTCCATCTTTGCAGCCGAATATCCAAGTCAGATACTTTCCGAATGAGACTCTGTAGGCTAGATAAGCCGCCTGGCCTGCCAGATATACCCCCGTGGAACCCGAGACCATAGAGGCCCGTAAGGACGTCTTTGATGAGTCTCGACAGCTTGGACATCAAATACTTATAGCTTAGAAGATTGGCTGGACACTGGTGTGTCGAATCAAAAGTCGCAGGCGACTGGCCAGTAGAGGACCTGGCCAACGGATTCAACAATTCAACATCGCAGTCCGAGTCCTTGATCCCATGAGGGTAGCCGTACGACATGGAGCAAAATGTTTCGATCTCATATATGGCCCACCAACAGCGTTTTCGAGTCTCGTACTGTCGATGCATCTCTGTGGACGTAGACCCTCTGCTGGGCATCTTACGATGCAAATCCAGGGCCTGTGCGATTCGCAAACCGCAGCCGCACACGGGCCAAGCGAGTTCGGGGTTGCCGTGGAAGAGATAATAGGTCCCGAGCAACACACAGGTCTGCACTGCCTCCAGGGACCCGAGAGAGATGATGTCCAGTAGATGGGCTTGGACTGTTGACAAAATCTTCTCTTCGAAAGCCGTTGGGTCAACGTTGTGCGCCTGCAGCAGATGGCGCCGGTGCGCGCCAGTATATCGCAGTGCAATACCGATGACCACCAGGAAAGTGCCAATGAACCCGGGATTCGGGTAGACACTTATCAACTCCTCGACAGGATAATCGTACATCTGCTGCCAAGTCCGCCGGAAGTCGTCCTGTTGGAAGATAAGCATGAACCAATGAACCCGATCAAAGTACGTGTCAACCAGCAACGCTGCCACTTCGCGCGAGGGAAACAGTGAGACTAGCTCAGATAGTTGGGCGCGGTTTGCTTGTAGCCGTGGGTTTGAGGCAGGCAGGCGCCTCGCCTTTCTTCCGATCGAATTATTGTTTCTTGGTCCAGAGTTCTCCGGCCGGGGTTGTCTCTGACCACCTGGCAAGGCCGTTGTCATCGACATGTCTGGCGTAGTGGCGTCGTGGAAGTGGAATGCCTCCATGGGGCTTCAGCAGTGGATAACCACCGAGGGCTGGGGCTCATCAATGCTGACCTCTTCTACTAGGGACATGGTCGAACTAGACCATGGTTGGTCGGCGAGGCCTGGTTCGCCATCCTTTCCGTCGGGTGTCTCCAGTTGACATGCTGCAGAACCTGGTTGTCCAGATGACGTCCGGTTGCGTCCTCTGCTGCGATTCTCCTCACCACCAGCTTGTGGCATCTGGACCGCCCTCCACCGATCATATGGGCCACTTTGGCAGTCCACCCCGGCTCGGACACACAAAGTGCAGGGGCGTTGGATGTCGCACTACATAGTCAGCGACGGGCGATCTGCAGGAAGTATCTATCCATCCAAGGGCCCACCTTGAGTTTCTGGTGACGACAGCGCTTGCATGCACTGCCTACCTTCGTCCGCTTTTTCTTCGGAGCCATTATTAGTTCTGTGTGATTGAAGTCAGAAGTGAAGAGCGAGGCCCAACAACTCTTCCGACCCATCGGGGAAAAGTGGAGATTCTTGCAGATAAGCTCCGGTGGAACCCCTACCTTATAAAGTAATTTATCCGGTTACCGGTATGTTGCTGTAGATGAGCTCAATGACATGGACAGTTTAAATACTGAAAGACGCAAGGAATCCCATCTCGTGTTCCCAAACATCAACTCAGGTGCAAGAGTGACCACACATATTCTCATACATCTGCCTACCATCCTACCCAATTCTTCTGTCAATCCGCAAAATGGCATCCCGGAACACCATCAAAGTGTCTCTGCCTCAACTGGCCAAGATGATCGACCATTCTCTCCTCCACCCTACCATGACTGACAACGACATCCGGGCGGGCCTCCAAATCGCCCGGGATCATCATGTTGCAACGGCCTGCGTGAAGCCTTACCTCATCCCTCTCGCCAAACAGGAACTCGCCGGCAGCGACGTTCTCGTATGCCCCGTGATAGGGTTTCCTCACGGCAACAGCACAACCGAAATCAAGGTTGCCGAAGCCACCGCTGCTGCACAAGCTGGCGGCGCAGAGATCGACATGGTAGTCAACATCGGAAAGGTCCTCGGCGGCGACTGGGGGTACGTGTCCGATGAGATTCGCCGGATCAACGAGGCGGTTACGGCGCACCAGGCGATCCTCAAGGTCATTTTCGAAAATGACTACTTGCAACCGGAGCATATCGCTCGTCTCTGTGAGATCTGCACCCAGCTCGGTGTTGCCTTTGTGAAGACCTCGACGGGGTACGGTTTTGTGAAACAGTCGGACGGCTCCTACAACTACAAGGGCGCTACTATCAGGGATTTGAAATTGATGCGTGCAAAGTCTGGCGAAAAGGTCCAAGTCAAGGCCGCTGGAGGCGTTCGTACTTTGGACGACCTGTTGCATGTCATGAGCCTTGGCGTGACTCGTATTGGGGCCACAGCGACGGTGGCTATCCTTGAGGATGCAAAGAAGAGGGGGATCGGGAACGACCCTGTTGAGGTTTCTTTCAAGCCGATGAAGGAAGATGGAGAGACAGTGGTTACTGAGTGAGATTCTCTACAGTGCCTCTCGATCATGATATGTTGGAACCGACAGGGGGCTTTGTCATTGAGCAGACAAGGCAAGAGCTCAGGTAGCCGATACTTTTTGCGTTCTGGTCGGACTCTCTGCCAGTCTCAAATGCAAAGTTCAACAACCCAAAATACTGGTTGGCCATTATTAGACTTCTGAGCCTAGATTGTTTGCGAATTCTACATCGTGGACAGTGTTCGTTACCGCTCCCTTGGTGTTGATACTCATGAGGACTTCCCACTATCGTTGTATAAGTAGTGAGCAAATCCCAAGTCAAGTCTCTGAAAGCCGCGCCGGATTCTCCTGTTTTTTTGCAATTGGATCAACATGAATGACAGTAATCAGCTTCACTGTTCGATATCATCCTGGCCTATAATCGTTGAAAACCCTATTCTGAAGAGCAATGGAGACGTCGGAGCAATGGCTGTCCTTCCTAATTTGATCTTCTTCTCGATTCGCTCCACGAACATACCCGTCTTGTCTTCCTTTGGCCATAATCAACAAGAAAGGAAGTGACGGCGTGGAAATCGAGCAGGAATGGGTGAGTGTAGTAGGGTCACCCAGCTCACCCCGCCTCAAGTACCTGGCACGTAGGTAGGTAGGTAGGTAGGTAGGAAGCTCAGTCAAGCATTATCACTTACATACGAAGTACTTCTTCACCGTACTGGCTACTCTGTACTGCAGTGCAGTCCTATATGACTACCTAGGTAGGTAGATAGATATGCAATTATCTCAGGAAGTGGGTGAAGATAATCTCCTAGGATTGTACTTATTACTCTGTATATCGACCAGGGTAAAGTGTAGATATAGATAGATCACATCAGAAAGTTAAATCCGGTAGACTAAAATAAAAACAGATATTACAAATGGATTTTTTTTTTCTCTCGTTTATTATATTACTAAAATTAAGTAAGAACAAGGTTACCGATTGGAAAGAAAAGTAAAATGTTTAGCTTCATTTGCTTCTTTGCTTGCTTGCTTTGTTTATCTCTTACTTTTTTTTCCCTTGCTTCGTTTCTTCCTTTCTTCTTCCTTTTCTTTCTCTTGCTTTCCTACTTCCGTGTGTCACTGCGTTTCGTTTTCAGTTTCTCAAGACAGAGAGAGAGGAAACTGACTCCAGGATTGTTATTATTATTATTACTATTTTGTTTTTTTTTGAAAGAGTACTGTTGAATCCACCCGGGTATCAATTCTTGCGCTAGAAATACAGTACACTGTGTCTCTCTATCTATTCAAGGCCAAGGACGACAGCCGTGACTGATGGATGGACGAGGGTGACTTTGTTCCCTCCTACCATGCTCGGCGACACGATCTGAAAGAAATAGAAGACATGCAGGAAAACAGAATAAGAACCAACGCCGTTACAACCGCCAGCAAGAACTCCTATACGAACTGAGGAAACCCAACCGATGCGATGAGCAAATTCGGATTGGTCGAAGCAGATGAAACACGCTCTGGAAATCATTCCGCGTATCGAAATATAGTGGTATCATGTCGGCATTAAAGATGAAAGGAGATATGTATGGATGCAAGGGCTCGCGCTGCTAAAAACGAAGAACGGGAGAGAACGGAAAGCTGTACAAAACGCGGACGGAGCGCGAGGTTCATCCGGTCAACGCCGCCGTTTGCGGGCCCTGCGAAGCCAAGTTTGCCACCATCGACAGACACCTAGCACCGCCGCGCGTCCGTCATCTTTCCGTTCTGTCCCGTCCGGGTTGCCGAGAACCATCGCGAAGATCCAGAAAAAGGCGGCGGTCCATGCGAGGAGGAGAAAGGCGATGGAGAGGAGGGACGACAGCAGGAGGACTGCGATCAGACCGCCGACGGAGTAGGACGCACAGGAATCTGCTTTCGATTGCCGATCGAGGTTGTTGTATGCGGACTGGGGCCGGGAGGACCGTTGCGGCGACTTTCGCATACGCACCAAGCGTTCGTGGATATGTAACTGGGGCACCAGCAGGTCACAGAGCTGGGCGCGAAAGGTCGTTGCGCGAAAGTATGGGATGCAGGAACAGAGACGGAGCGGCGAGACGAGGATGACGAAGAACAGGCCGAAGAGCGTATAGATGCATGCCGCGAACGAGAAGATCGGGACCGGGGCGGACAGTCGAAGCTGGACGATTGACAAACTACGGTTAGCGAGCGAACATCGAGGACAGACAGCCGGGGGGGGGCCTTACCAGCATCAGGAGGGCGTCCTGGTTGTCATCCGCGAGAGAGTCCTCATCGCGAATTACCCGCTTGTGCGCGCGAAACGCAGTCGACGGATGATTGTCGCTCGACAGGTGTGAGGAATGGTCGGTCATGCTTCCACGAAGACGCTCTTCCTTGCGCATGGCTCCGCTGCTAGACGAATCCCCAGTCAGCATGGAACCATTCTCCAAACAGGGCGAGGTTACAAACGTCACGGGAACCGCCGCGGGCTGCGCGAAATCCGGGTATACCGTCTCCACCGGACCCTGAGCCGGGTAAGGGCCGTCGGCGGAAGCGCGACCAGAATGCTTAGCGAAGGAAGGGTCCCACATGTCGGAAGTATAATCGTGGGACTGGGGGGTTCGAAACCGGTCGGAATCCGACGGACGGGGGGCGATTGCCCCGTGCTGCTGCTGCTGTTGCTGCTGGTTGCGCGGGGATGACGACGATTCGCAGGGCAAGTGAGCCGCAGGGGGAGTAGGGGGAATCGAGGGGCGGTTATCGGCTGTCACAAGGTGGCCATGATCCTGGTAGTAGGCAGGAGAATATGACATCTCGGGCGGGCCCATGGCTGGCAGCGGAGCAGGAAGAGGAAGGAGCAATCAGAGAGATAAGGTGGGCCAAAACAAGGGCACACAGCGACAGGGCGGGTGTATCCCCCTTCAACCAGAGCGGCGAACGACACCCACGGTGGTACAGAGACGAACACAGAAGCCCACGGAGAGAAGTTCACTGCATGGCTTCTGATGCAAGGGGCACACACGCCCGGGAGAAAGAAGGGGAGGGAGGGGGAGGAGGGGAAGGGAAAAGATAGACAAGTCGACAAGGCCACAGCAAGGCGGAGGGACGAAGCAGAAAAAGGGGGGTAGTAGTAGTCGTAGTCAAAGCGGAATGGGAGGAAATGGAATGGGGAGGAGAGGAGGCGGGAGAGGAGCGGAGGGAAGGAGACCAGGAAGACTTATAAGAGGGCCATGAGACACAAAAAAGCCCAGAAAGGTTGCAGCGGAGACCCAAGAAAGGGCATCAAAGCCCAAGAGAGAAAAAAAAGGGTTGGTTGTCTTGGGGGAGAACGAAAGCTGCAGCGGAAGGCCGCTTTTTTTGCCTGCCAAGAGAAGCCCAGATGCCGAGATCTTGGCATGGTCAACATCAAAGGCGTCTCACTCGTCCGTGGTCTTGGGAGATCCCGTCGTAATTCAAATCAAGGACACGATGGGAGGATTCAACCAGAGAAAGGAGAGACCGATGAGAAAGACCCATGGCTTGGATTGACCACAGTCCGATACATGATGACAGATATTGGAAGAGGAGGTGGAGAGTCTTCAGGCTTGTAAGTGGAAGGGAAGATAGGAAACGGGATCAAATTCGCGATGATGAATCACTGATTCCCCTCCGGCCGCAAATGGTCATCGTCCCATACGGTACGGTATCGTCATCCGCCACTCTTTTCGCATCAAACCCCGTCTATTCTCTAGCAAAACACATGGTAATACCAATACTACACTCCGACCTGACCTTACCGTCCGCCAAGATGCCAAGAGTCTGCGGGGGTTTCCCTTCGCCAGGTGGGCGATGTGATTGGTCTCTCCGGCCAGGGAAACCCGTCCGGGATCCGCATTCGGACACTTGGATGGACGCCTTGGCAGTATTACAATCGCTATCCTGTTAGTCACGGTACGACCGATGAAGGGTCTAGTGCTGACCCCAGGGAATCCAATGGCGAAGATCCCTCTACATTGTTCAGACTTGCATGTTTGGGAATGACTGAGAAAGACTAATGGAGACCCCGAGGAGATGTTCTCTCCGTCGTTTGCTCTCCTCTCCGACACCCGCCCAGAGAAGTTGCCCAGCCCGCCGAGAGATTGGCAACCGCTCCATCGGCCTGTTGTCCTCGCGTCTGGGCTTGGGGCTGCTGCGTGTCTCCGAATCACCGAGGAGACAAGAAAGGGATTCATCTATCAATTAGGTAATAGAGATTCACCTGGTGGCTTTTGGCTTTACGGTATGTGGCATCCCTCCTACCTAGCTCATCAGAATCGATGCATCCCGCCCTCAATACTGGCCCCAGATCTGGGATACGACCGATCCCCCATACAAATATCATCAGTTCCAGAAAACCACCCGCAAGGCTGAATCGGTGATGAACCGTCACCAGAACTCTACCTGACGAGATTGATCGACTGGTCAGGGTCAGGGGGCCCCCACCCCCGTCTTCGAAAGAGGATGAAACATGCTCCTCTCAGTCGGGGGACCCAATCTATTATTGCCTTCCCGCTCAGACTGGCATGTGGTTTCCATGACGTGGAGATTCGCAGACCAAGCCCAGCATTCTTGTCCCTGATTGAGCAGGACGGACTCTGGCCGTTTCGTAAAGCTCACGTCTCGGCAGTCATTTGCCGTTGGCTCAATAATATCTCGCTACCGACCCCAGGCTGGCTTGGCCGGGTCGGCCTGCCTCCTGCCGAGGTCTTGGACAGGCCCTCGAATTTAGATCCGTCATTCTTGGCTAGGACGGGTTGCTGTGCTGTTTAGGACAAGTTCACGACGCTCCTTCGTCCAAGGGATGGCGCGGCAGGACTAAGGTGACGTGCTTGCGTCGATCGACTCCTTTGTGACATTGTGGATATCCTGTTGGAGATGACACGGTCGCTAGGCGGTAGTCATAAGGTAGCGCCACTCTGTACGGACGTGGGCTCGGGTGATTCTCTTGAACTTGTTTTTATTTCCATTAATCGATAACTATTGTTCTATCTGTATATACGTGAGTATATGCCACTATATATCTGTTCAGCCCAAATAGCATGATGGAGGTATAACATGGAGGTCCGTGACCATGGCAGATGAACTGTCAACTCGGGTCTAAATTCGTCTACTGCCGTGCCTCTTTCTGTCGGGTGCATAAGGTAGATATCTAGTGCACTGTCGGACCACAACCCAACCAGTCAATGATCAACCTGTAGCAGGCTACTTAGGTAGGTACCTAAGGTAGGTATTAAGATACAAAATAGGCGAGTTTGAGTATGGAGTATATGGCGGTGTAGCCCGTGTGTGTGTGCATGAAAAAGCCACGATGGATGATATATCTGCAGGACAGCCACTGACTGGTCTTTTGATCTTCCTGATCAACCGTCATGCATTGGCCAGGTATCCTGATCTGCTAGGCTTAGTATTCTCTATCAGAACTTTTTTTTCACTTTATTCTTTTTTTTCAAATTTATTTATTTTCTTCTTATTCTACCATATATGCTATCTCTGTGCGCTATAGGTGAGACACACCTTAGCACTCCATATGAAAGGCGATAATTAATCCACAACTGTGCCATCAGTTATCACCATGAATCAAATTCTCTACCACCAAAGGAGGCTGATATCAACATACAGCCAATCTTTTCTTTCCCCGACCTATGTAAGTCACGAGTAATAGTAGGTAGTACGCAACCTTCCGATCTCGCACATTCCAACCACGCTGTCAACGTCGGAGGAGCGTCAGCCGACGCAAAGACCAGCCGCAGGAAGTCAGGAACAAGAACACTGATAGACCAAGTCCGGAGGGACAACACGTCACTGTGGGGTGTCTAGTCATAGCTTAGGGATATCGGGTGGGCTTGCATGGGCGATTTGATGAAAAAATGGTGCATAACAATGGCCTCGTCGGTGTTCTCTCGGTTAGCTGGTATCCCTTCGTTGAGTGATTCCGAGGACATATATATATATACACAATGGGGGTGTATATGACTTTTGCACATAGTGAGGTTATATAGGTATAATTGATTTTGCTTTGTTTTGTTTTGTTTTGTTTTTCACTACGCTGCTCTTCTATTCCTTCCAGCGCAGCAATCTGTGATCATAAAACTCCATATGTTCCCCCACACAATGGGATTGTCAAGAAGAGCTTACTCACAGTGGGAAGAGTTGCCTTCCTACATGATGTTATCAATATAGCATTCTTCAGATTATGGGCCGTGCGCTGGATTACTCCAAACTGTTTATTATTCCTCTTGTTCCCCCTCTCCACTCCTTCCGTACCTTGTGCCTATCTGTGGCTCCATCACAGTAAGTCAATGAGAGAGTTTCTATACTGTGAGAGCATCTTCTGCAAAAATTTCAAGTTTGTTTACTTTCCCAGATGGAATGACACCTAGTTCAAGTACATGTGTTTTTATAAGAACTGTGGAATATGTGTTTAGATATATATGATTCATATATATTAAGCCACATCAACCTGAATTCCCCATGGGAGATAATCATCTACGATATTTGTGAGGCAGACAGTCAACACACAAACAAACGCACGGACGGTCAATTGGAACGCCATATGAGCGTGAATCGGGTATAGCGGAAACCCTATACTTAAATACCTCTTCTCTTTGAGAACAATCAGCCGAGCACCTACCCTGGGCCAATCAGCCCATACTAAATGTCGTGATACCCATAGCATGGGGAGGGGGGAGGCACCCATCCATCCATCCATCCCGCACAAAAGCAAGCAAGCAAGCACTACCCCCATAAAACACACAAATCAGTTTCGAATCTCGGTCATATTAAGAATATGTCTGTTACCCCTCCCCCGCACGACCTACCTAGGCGCGCGCAAAGCAGACAAGAAGGCAATTTGTGTTGTGGTGGTGCTTGTGACTGCCACGGACAGAGGGTCGCCGAGGGAGGCCGGAGCGGAGCTAGGTGTTGATTATGCGAGAGTGGTGGTGGTGGTGGTGGTGGTGGTGGTGTGTCGCACAGTCCGTCATCCTAGTCATGACGGGCGCGCAACTTGCATTTTGGATGGGTTCGAGGGTGGTTGTTATTTCTTGTTGTTTGTTTCGGGTGGTTGTACATAGTGTACTTGGGGGTGATTGTGATTACGTGGACGAGTTATCTAGACGGGGATGGGGAGGAGACGTGGTTATATTTATCAACGGGGTGGGTAACTATATATGTAAGGATGATGGAGTGTCACTTGGTGATATGAGATAGGAATGACATATTTGTTATGAAGGCATTTGCCCGAAACAAGACAGGACTCCCTTGAATATATGGTAGCTCACGTTTATGGAGAAGATATATTAACTTACCCCCCGACTTTGGACCCCACCAGGAGGGAGCTACCGGAAGACGGCAGGAGACATACTCCAGAGTCCTCCGTACATTCCCCAGCTAAACAGTAAACAGTAAACAGCCAATCTAGTAAGGTACATGTGTACTCCATCCTTCCAAACCCAGTATGTCCCAACATTGTGACGGTGTTCAGTGGGGCGCCCACCTGCAAGGGCCTGGCCTGGGTCCTGACCTTAGTTAGTTTAGCGCAGGACGACCACCACCACAGTGGAGGTTACCTCTCATCTCAAGTTAGGGGGGAAGGGCATTGTTGACAGTTTGCCAACAGTGGACGGCGTCCACTATCAAGCCCATTAAGTTCATTAAGTTTGCTACCTCCATCTCGTGCCTCTCGAAATATGAAAATATGTACGGGAGTAGGTGACCCCCTGACCAGTCAATTCCGGTTCGCCCCACGGGACAACGCCGGCACGGCGCGACCTGTCCAGCGTCCAAGCCATTGTGAGACATGCGCGCACACACACCCTCCTTTCTTCTTCTGCTGCTTCTGCCTTCCCCCCTAGATTGTTGGATGCAGCTGCAGGCAGGGAAGAGACTGTACGACGGGGTGGGTCGCATGCTGTTGTGTAACTGGATTAGGGTCAGGAAAATGACAGTTCAATTTATTATTTTTTCTTCTTATTTGGTTTTATTTATATATCTACTTATCCACTCCGTGTTT